CTTCCTTCCTTCCTTCCTTCCTTCCTTCCTTCCTTCCTTCCTTCCTCCTTTCTTGCTTTATTCCTTTCCTTTCTTTCTTCCAACTTGGTACCTGATGCTTTCACTCATTGGCTGGCGCTCTACCAACCAAGCCACACCTAAAACCCCTAATTAGGCATCTTGTACTGCAACAGCAGATGTTGAATAAAATTTGTTTTTTTTCCACAGGTGGTCCTAGAAGGAAAATTTAGTAATGATGACAGCTCTTCTTATGATAAACCAATAACTTTTCTGTCCCTGAAGCTGCGACTTGTGAATATACTAATAGGTGCCTTGCAAACAGAAACGGACCCCAATAACACCCAAATGATACTAGGTTTGTGTTCTTTTCTTCTCTTTTCTTTCCTTTCCTTTTCTTTCCTTTGTTTTTTGTCAGTTGTGGGGCCGGAACTCTGGGCCTGGGTGCCGTCTCTCAGCTCTTCAGCTCAAAGCTAGCGCTCTACCACTTGAGCCACAGAGCCACTTCTGGCTATTTCTGCTTATGTGGTGCTGAGGAATCGAACCCAGGGCCTCATGCATGCAAGGCAAGCCCTCTACCACTGAGCCACTTTCTCAGCCCCATGTCATAGGGCTTGAACTTAGAGCTTGGGCGCTATCCCTGAGCTCTTTTGTTCAAGGCTAGCTCCCTACCACTTTGAGCCACAGCGCCACTTTTGGTTTTCTGAGTAGTTTATTGGAGGTAAGAGTCTCATGGACTTTCCTGCCAAGGCTGGCTTTGAACCATAATCCTCAGATCTCAGCCTCCTGAGTAGCTAGGGTACAGGCATGAACCAGAACCACTGGCACCTGGTTTAGGTTTGTGTTCTTATAAAGCTTTTTTTGTAAGTGAAAATTCCAGTACTATTAACCTTATTCATGCTATGGGTCAGAGGTCAGCTCTTATTATTCTAAGTCAAAGGCACATTATTATTATTATTTTATTTTTGTTGGTCCTGAGGCTTGAACTCAGTCTGGGTAATGTCCCTGAGCCTCTATGTGCTCAAGGCTAGCACTGTACCACTTGAGCCACATCTAGCTTTTTCTGAGTAGTTTATTGGGTAAGAGCCTCATGGACTTTTCTGTACCTGTGCTGGCTTTGAACTGTGATCCTCAGATTTCAGCCTCTTGAGTAGCTGGGGTTACAGGCATGAGATACCAGCGCCTGGTGGAAAAAGCAGATTTTATTCCCTTCTTAATGTTAAAAAATAGGAAGGTGTTGACATGAGGGAAAGAAAGCATTTCAATCTCCTAGGATGATTATTTTTATTTGTGCTTTTTCTTTTTTCCTGTTTCCTCTCTTTGAGGATTATATACATTCACATATATTCTTCAGCCTAGATAGAGATACATTGCTAGCTAATTACCTACTACCTACTTGATATCTCTACTTGTAAGCCAAAAGACAACTCAAACCTATTTTGCCTACTTCGTACATCTTTGCCCTAAGTGTTCTCTACCACCATGCTTCTACCTGTGTATCTTATTGCCCACATAAAAATCTAAGACTCGGGCTGGGATGTAGCTCAGTGGCAAAGCGCTTGCCTAGCAAGCGCAACGTCCTGGGTTCAATCCCCAATACCAAAAAAGAAAAAGACAAAAAAAAAAAAATCTAAGACTCATCTGTCTTTAGTTCTTTTTTTTTTCTTTTTCTCTCTCTCTTTTTTTTTTTTGCTGGTATTGGATTTTGAATTCTGGGCCTGGACCCTATCCTTGAGCTCCTTTTGCTCAAGGCTAGCACCCTACACTTGAGCCACAGAGCCACTTCCAGCTTTTTCTGTGATTAGTTGGAGGTAAGAGTCTCATGGACTTGTCTGCCCAGGCTGGTTTCAAACCACAATCCTTAGATCTCAGCCCCCTGAATAGCTAGAATTACAAGTGTGAGCCACTTGTGCCAGGCTGTCCCTTCAGTTCTTTCTCTATTACCTAGTCCACACACCTAAGTTCTGTCTACACTGTTTCCACAATGATTTTTATTTTTTTATTTGTCAGTCATGGGGCCTGCACTCTGGGCCTGGGCGCTGTCCCTCAGCTATTCAGCTCAAAGCAGCACTCTACCACTAGACCCATAGCGCCACTTCCGGCTTTTTCTGCTTATGTGGTGCTGAGAAATAGAAGGGCCTCATGCATGCGAGGCAAGCACTCTACCACTGAACCATCTTCCCAGCTCCTCCACAATGTATTTTGATCAGCTTTATACCTCACTCCTAGAACTCTTTGTTTCTTTGCTTTTTTTGATCGTGGGACTTGAACTCAGCATAAGCATTGTCCCTGGGCTCTTTTGCTCAAGGCTAGTCCTATACATATACTTTTAGTCACAACTTCACTTCTGGCTTTTGAGGACTCTTCTGCCAAGGCTGTCTTTGAACCATAATCCTCAGATCTCAGCCTCCTGAGTAGCTAGGATTACAGGCATGAGCCACCAACGTCTGGCTATTTATTTTTTAAACTGTAATTATTATAATTAAGGTGTTATACAGAGGGGTTGCCATTTCATAAGTCACGTTCCATATCTTTTAATGACAGTGTTTTCATAGTCTCTAAGTTTGTTTCCTATCCTCCTACCTTGCTCCCTAGCATTTAACCTCCCCTATCTAAGCTAGTGTTGTAAAGAGTAAGGTAGGTAGTACCAATCTCCATACCACTGGCTGACAATTACACATTCCATATTCCTTACTCCGTCCTGTAGATATCCTACATTCAGTTTCTCACCTTTGTATTACCTTGTACAATCAAAAAAGTATAACTGTAGTTTCTTATTTAGTTATTTTTCTTTATAAAATGTCAGAACCTTGTTTTTTTTTTTTTTTTTGTCGGTCGTGGGGCTTGAACTCTGGGCCTGGGCGCTGTCCCTCAGCTCTTCAGCTCAAGGCGAGCGCTCTACCACTTGAGCTACAGCGCCACTTCCGGTTTTCTGGTGGTTTATTGGAGATAGGAGTCTCACGGTCTCTCCTGCCCGGGCTGGCTTTGAACCTCGATCCTCAGATCTCAGCCTCCTGAGTAGCTAGGATTACAGGCGTGAGCCACCAGCGCCCAGCCAGAACCTTGTTTTAAAAGCATTCTGTAGGGGCTGGTAAGGTGGTTCAGTGGTAGAGTGCTTGCCTTGCATGCATGAGGCCCTGGGTTCAATTTCTCAGCACCACATAAGCAAAAAGAAAAAAGCTAGAAGTGGCAGTGGCTCAAGTGGTAGAGTGCTAGCCTTGAGCTGAATAGCTGAGGGACAGCGCCCAGGCCCAGAGTTCAGGCCCCATGACTGGACCCCCCCCCCAAAAAAAAAAATAAAAGCATTCTATAATATTTTTCTTAGTTTGTTGTATGTCCTTTGAAATGGAGATGCTTACATTTGGTGTGTGGTGGTTTTTGTGTTTTGTGCAGTGTATTGGAGCTTGAACTCTAGGCCTCACATTCTCAACCTTTTTTCACACATAGTTGGAGTTCTAAACATTTGAGCCACATCTCTACTTCCAGCGCTTTGCTGATTAATTGCCAGTCTTGATTGGCTTTGAAAGTTTGATTATCAGATCTTAGCCTCCTGAGTGGCTAGAATTAGAAGTGTGAACACCAGCACTTGGCTTTATTTTTTGGTGTTTTTTTTTTTTGTTGTTGTTTGTTTGTTTTTTGAGATAGAGTTTCATGTAGCCTAGCTGGCCTTGAACTCTTGGTCATCTTTCCTCAGCTCTTTCCTCAGCTTCCCAAGTGCTGGAAATATAGGTATGTGTCATTTCTAGCTTACATGTAGCCTCTCACCCAGGTAAAGAATATCTAATAGTAGACATGTTTTTTTGTTTTTTGTTTTTTTTGTCTGTTGTGGGGCTTGAACTCTGGGCCTGGGCGCTGTCCCTGTGCTCTTCAGCTCAAGGCAAGCACTCTACTGCTTGAGCCACAGTGTCACTTCTGGTTTTCTAGTGGTTTATTGGAGATCAGAGTCTCACAGACTTTCCTGCCCAGGCTAGCTTTGAACCCAGATCCTCAGATCTCAGCCTCCTGAGTAGCTAGGATTATAGGTGTGAGCCACTGGCACCCAGCTAGACAGGTTTTTTAATAGATAATTTTATTATTATTATTATTATTATTATTATTAACTTATTGTTCACATGGGTTACCATTTCATAAGTCAGATAATGAGTACAATTCTTTTTTGGACAGTTACCTTTTCAGTCACTTTCCCCTTTCCATTCGGCAGTGGACATAATTTTATATAAAGCAAAGTTGATTTCAAATATGTTTTTTAAAAATAACAGTTTCAAAACTTTGAAAGCAGATCAGAATTTGGAAATTTTTAAAGAGTATCTTTGTTGGCCAGCCAGTGAATTTATTAGTAATTTTTAGAGAATCTTGTATATGCTCAACTAAAATAATACTTTTGTTGTTGTTGTTTGTGGTGGTCATGGGATTTTAATTCAGGGAGGATCCAGGTGCTAGCCCTAAGCTTTTGTTCTCAAGGCTAGCACTATACCACTGGGAGCCACAGTTCCACTCCCAGTTTTTAAGTGGTTAATTGAAGATAGGAGACTCACAGACTTTGCTGTGTGGGATTGGCTCTTAACTGTAATCCTAAGATCTCAGCCTCCTGAGTAGCTAGGATAACAGCTGTGAGCCACCAGCACCAGGTCAAAATCACATTCTTATCAATGATCTTAATCATTTTAATGTGAATTATTTTAGCATTTATATCATGTTTTACCTAAAATGCTTTTCTGTTTATTTTGCTATTGCAGGAGCAATGTTAAATATTGTTCAAGATTCTGCACTTTTAGAAGCCATTGGTTGCCAAATGGAAATGGTATGAAGCATACACTATTTATCTGTCAGAGAAATCTACTTCTCATTTTATCCAGATTTTACTTCAAACTGCCAGTCTAGTGCTTTTTTATATTTATTTATTTACTTATTTATTTATTGTTGGTCATGGGGCTTGAACTCGGCCTGGTCTCTGTCCCTCAGCTCTTCAGCTCAAGGTGAATGCTCTACCACTTGATCCACAGCACCACTTCCAGTTTTCTGGTGGTTAATTGGAGATAAGAGTTTCATGGACTATCCTGCCTGGGCTGGCTTTGAACCATGATCCTCAGATCTCAGCCTCCTGAGTAGCTAGGATTACAGGTGTGAGCCACCAGCACCCAGTTTATTTTTTAAATTTATTTTATAGTACTGTGATTTGAACTAGGTGTAGTCACTCTTGCTAGGCAGGCACTCATTTCTCAGCCACACCTCTAGCCCTTTTTTGCACTGGTTGTTTTGAGATAAGCTCTTGCTTTTGGCACGTGCCTATACTGAAATCCCTTATTTATACTTCTTGTGGTTGACAGTATGACAGGTGTATCCCACTATGCCCAGTTTCTTTCATTATGATTGGGTCTTTGAATGTTGTGAACATTTTGCCCAGGCTAGTTGGAACTTTGATACTTCCCATCTCAGCTTCCCACGTGGCTGGGAATAATAGAAGTGTATTAACATGCCCAGTTATTGAGAAGAGGGGGTCTCCTGAATTTTTTGCCAGAATCAGATCATACCTATAATCATTCCCAGCTAATTAGGAGACTAAGATCAGATCCTCTTGATCTCAGCCTCTGTAAGGAGCTGGGATTGTAGCCATGAACCACTAGTTCCTAGTTCTTTACGTCTCAATAATTGATTGGTTGGTTGGTTGGTTGTGCCAATAATGAGGTTTTAACTCAGAGCTTGAGTACTGCCCCTTAACATTTTTACTATAGGCTGGCACTCCTCTACCACTTGAGCCACAGCTCTACTCTTGACTTTTCCGTTCTTAATTGGAGATAAGAGTCTCATAGATTTTCCTGTCTAGGCTCTCTTTGAACAAAAAATCCTTAGATCTCACTCTCCTGAGTAGCTAGGATTACAGGTATGAGCCACTGGCACCCAGCTTGTGTGTGTGTGTGTGTGTGTGTGTGGGGAGGGGATGGGTTTGAATTCATCTTCATGCTTGCTACACAGGTTCTCTACACTTGTCAGAACAGCCTGGACTATGGACCTCCCAATTTTGCTTCTCTGTGTAGCTGGAGTGACAGGTGCACTCCATTCTGTTCCCAGCAATTGGTAGCAATGGAGTCTGTAAACTTTAGTTTTTTCCTTTTTGCCCAGGCTAGTCTTGAACTGATATCTACAGGTAGGATTACAGGTTTGAGCCACTACTTGGCTGTCCTAATGGTTTTTAAAGTCATTCTTTGAAAAAAGCCAGCTCATTGATTAGACATTTTGAGGTTTCATTGCTTCATCAGGTATATACTTCAAGTCCTTGAGAGTTTTTTCATGAGAGAAACTCCAGCCAGGCAGTATCTGCTTAAAGCTCTTACTTGGTTTGCTTTGCTGCTGAATTGGTTTGAATGATCTAAGAAAAGCATTCTGTTTCATAATTCCTGACACCCTTAATAGATCAGTGGTCTCTTTCCATTCCACATAGGTAACAGTTTTCATGTCCTCCAAAGTACCAGTGCTTCTAAATCTGAAAGACTTGCTAGAGAAATGCAGTGCCCCTTGCTTATGTTTTCAGGGTGCATATCCTTACAGAGTAGAGCCTGGGTAGTAGGAAAAGCAGTATGGCATACAAGCTAGGCAGATGAAGGATGGACTATCAGCTTATCAAGGAAGTTATGGCCCTGTAGATGGCTAATAATTTACTAATCTGTATATGATTATATACAGATCTGTATATGATTATGTACAGATTATATGGGATAAAGTGACAGAAATATATTCCCTATACATATAAGAATTTATACTATTGTGTTTTATAATAAAACTAGGACTGAAAGTTGTGGCTGTGTGTGTGTGTGTGTGTGTGTGTGTGTGTGTGTGTGTTTAAAATTGTATTCTTGGGGCTGGGAAGGTGGCTCAGTGGTAGACCACTTGCCTTGAGCTGAAGAGCTGAGGGACAGCGCCCAGGCCCAGAGTTCAGGCCCCACGACTGGACCCCAAAAAAAAATAAAAAATAAAATTGTATTCTTGCTGGGCGCTGGTGGCTCGTGCCTATAATCCTAGCTACTCAAGAGGCTGAGATCTGAGGATCTTGGTTCAGAGCCAACCCCAGGCAGGAAAGTCTGTGAGACTCTTATCTCCAATAAATCACTAGAAAACCAGAAGTGGCGCTGTGCCTCAATTAGTAGAGCTCTTGCCTTGAGCTGAAGAGCTGAGGGACAGGGCCCAGACCCAGTGTTCAAGCCCACGGCTGACAAAAAAAAAAATTATATTCTTGTTCTTATGAAGTTTTCTTTTTTTGGGGGGGTGGGAGTAGAAGTTGTTGATTTTTATTTTATTTCATTTTTTTGTTGGTCATGAGGCCTGAACTCTGGGCCAGAGCGCTGTCCCTCAGCTCTTCAGCTCAAGGCTAGTGCTCTACCACTTGAGCCACAGCCCCACTTCCAGCTTTTTCTGCTTATGTGGTGCTGAAGAATCGAACCTAGGGCCTCATACATGCAAGGCAAGCGCTCTTACCACTCAGCCACCTTCCCAGGCCCTACAGTGTTTTCAAATGATTACTTATCCTTGTAAACTGTGATGCAGCCTCTAAATAACTTTTTCATCTAATTAGGGTGGTGGAGAAAATAACCTGAAGAGCCACAGTCGCACTAACAGTGGTATTAGCTCAGCAAGCGGTGGGAGCACAGAGCCCACAACTCCTGATAGTGAGAGGCCAGCTCAGGCTCTCTTAAGGGATTATGGTAAGCTATGTTTTGTTTTCTTTTGAAATAAAAGTTGTAAAGAATGGCTTTAATTCTCAGATTTATAAAATAAAGCTAAAATATTAATGTTCAAAAATTTTAAACTATATATGTTTTATATATTTAGGCATAATAGGACAGATATTAGTCTAGTTACATTTGGGGTAGTTGATTGGGTTCCAAAATGAGTAGTCAGGAGATTATTCTGGGTTTTGTACCAGATACCAGTGATACCATTGTCAGATGAGATGTAAGCTCTGCCTCAGGGCTCCCAGTCTAATGATGAGATGCTGTGTGTTGAGGGAAGTGATGGAGTATAAATGGGAACCCAGAGGAGCATCCCTCATTGTTATATTTGTATTACATTTTAGCAAGATAAGGAAACATTATTTTCTGTCTTCACAAATATTTGCCAGCAAAGCATCCTGTTTGGTGATGTTCTTTATATTGGGCAATCATTTTATGAATTCATTAAGTTTATGGTACTTTTATATACACTTATTTTCAAGTATGAACATTGTATTGAATTTGTGAATATTTATCCAACTCTTTGGAATGCTCTCTAGTTGCACAGATGTGAGTTTTAAGTTTTGAATCACCTGGAGACTTCATAGCTATATTTAATAAGGCATGCTTTTATGGTTTAAGTTTATAATAAGTATCCTTTAGACATGTCAGATACACACAGCCATTATGTGGATATTTAATTCACTTAAATATTGCATTTACAGAGAAGTTAATAAGTTTTTATCATAAATAGATATAGATAGATGTAGGTTTAATTTAGGTTGAAATTTTGGTTTTTGTGCTTTAACATTTTTAAACAAAAAAAGTTGCATTGCTGTATGTGTTATAATATAAATGTTTGGAGTGATTATTGTTTGTTTCAACATTTTGAACTGGTGTTAGTCAGCTCTGCTTGTAATGTCGTAAAATATTTTTTACTAAGAAATCCAGACTTGTGTTAGTGTCACGTGAATGTCTCTCTTTAATGATCATTCCTTTTTCTGTTGTCACTGCCCTCTTTCTGATAGGATCGACAGGTATAATGTCCCTAAAGCTTTTATGAATCCATTTTAATTTGTTCTAATTTAGTTTCTCCTAATTTACTATTAGTTAAACAATGATAACTTTTAAATGTAAAATTGGAGGCTATACAGAGGCCAAATGGTTGTTTAATTTGTTTAGAAATATTTCAGTAGTCTTGAAGAGTTAAAAGTTAAAATTGATTTTGAAAAGACATTGCATGTGAATTTTAAAGATTTAAACACCAGATGCTTCAGGGTAATTCCGAGCATCTGAAGAAGTCTTAAAAGTCGAATTCTATAAAATTCCAAGGAAATGGTTAAAAGCCTCAATTCTTTTTGAAAATATAAGTCTAAGTTATCAACTTAAAAATTTTAAGACTAACATCATTGTAAAAATGATACTGAAACTGCCAAGTTCCACATTGGTTTATGTGAAAGTTTGTGGGTTGGGAGCCAGAAGATGTCCTGGCCCTGTGTGCTCCTGTGCACTGTCAGGCCTGGTGCTCAGGCCAGTGGGGCGGGAGCATAGTGCTGTGGGTGCCCGTCATGCTCACTGTGGCTGCTGTGGTCTGTGCCTAGTGGAATGCTGTGCTTCTCGTTACTAATACTTAGTTGTTTTCCCTCCCTGTGGGATGTGGCATTGGGTTATATCCTAGCTCTTAATACAGATTCAGCTGCTGGGCTCCTGATACGCAGCATTCATCTCGTCACCCAAAGACTCAATTCCCAGTGGCGGCAAGACATGAGCATATCATTGGCAGCTCTAGAGCTCCTCTCTGGTCTGGCAAAGGTGAGGAGGATAGTCATTTATTTTAACACAGCAGCTTTGAGTTTGGCTCTTTTTTCTGTATTTATTGACCCCTTGGTTGAGAGTATTACAATGTTGGCCACAGTCCAACATTATATCCAAACTTTATATCCAAAGTACGAAATTGAGCCTCCGTGTGAAACTTTAGTGAAATGAACTACTCTTTAAAAATAGATTCAGAGTCTGAATATTGTAACTGTTAAATTACAGAAATATTTATTTGCACATAGCAATATGATACCTAGAGGCTTTTTAAGGAGTTGTTATGCTAAAGTGTGCTAATCGGGAATATCTTTGACTACTATCTTCCATTATTAGATATAAGCGGAAGTTGTGTGTTTACATTTCTTTTATAGCTATTATTTCAGTTCTTAGAGTTAGGTAGCAATTTGTGTTTCTCTTAAGTATTTTTTGTGTATGTGTGCCAGTCCTGAGGCTTGAACTCAGGGTGTGTGAGCTGTCCCTGAGCTTTTCTTTTTTTGGGGGGGGGTCCAGTCATGGGGCCTGAACTCTGGGCCTGGGCACTGTCCTTCAGCTCTTCAGCTCAAGGCTAGCATTCTACCACTTGAACCACAGTGCCACTTCCGGCTTTTTTCTTTTTGCTCATGTGGTGCTGAGGAATCGAACACAGGGCCTCAAGCATGCAAGGCAAGCGCTCTACCGCTGAGCCACCTTCCCAGCCCCGATGTCCCTGAGCTTTTTTACTAAAGGCTAGTGCTCTACCACTTGAGTCATAGTTCCACTCTTCGCTTCTTTGGTGGTTAAGTAGAGTCTCAGGGACTTTCTGTATGGACTGACTTCAAACCAAACTCTGAGTAGCTAGAATTACAGGCATGAGGTACCAGTACCAGGCCAGGATTTTTCATTTTCTTTTTTTAAAAAACAGAACCAACAGCCGGGCGCTGGTGGCTCACGCCTGTAATCCTAGCTACTCAGGAGGCTGAGATCTGAGGATCGAGGTTCAAAGCCAGCCCGGGCAGGAAAGACCGTGAGACTCCTATCTC